GGTCCGCCTTCGCTCGCCCGCCGCTGCCGCCGCCGCCTCCCCCCCTCCCTCAGCCACTGCTCCCAACACTACCGCCGTCCGATTACATCCGGGAAACTGGGACGCCACCGCCTTCGCTTAACGTCGGCTGTGGTCGGCTCTTTCCGACCAAACTCCTCCCCTTTGATTTTTTTTTTTAATAACATCCTCCTTCCTCTTTCTTAGGCCTAGGCCCCGCCTACCTCCACTCCAGATTCTGAGAGCCTCTCTTTCGAGAGGCATCGGCCGTTTCCGTTCAATGCCGGAAATCCCTTGCCGTGAAAGGTAAAGCCTGCGCGCTCGCTCTTTCGGCTCCCGATTCAGAGGCGGCGGCTTCGGAAAACATCGGAGATTTCCGTCAAGCCGACAGCCCTCGCTTTGATGCTACGTCACTATTCCCCGACGCTGGGTGTTTCCCCCCGGCCTCCGTATCCGCTGTTGCTTCGGTTGTTTCCGTAGGTGAAACGAGGGACGCGGCTCCGATCGGCACTTTTCGTGACTCTTCTAAAACCAACTCCCGAGAATGCTCCCAGAGCCGCGGGCGAGAGGGGTGGAGCAATCCCGGGCCACTGATTGGCTGAGGAGGCTGCTTCTCTCGTTCGCTCCCTAACTCAAACGCGTTGCCTGCGGGGAGAGAAGTGGCACGTTGGCTTCTCTCGCGGGCAAAAGCGGAAGTTACCAGGGCCAAGGACGCTGGCAGCCGGGCTGAGGATGGCAAAGCAGTGACGCCTTTGGTATGAGTCTGGCTTTATTTATTTTCTCGTTCTAACCCAGGACCGTTTCTCCGCAGTCCATTCTCACTAACCCTCTCTGGGAAAGGTGCCTGGGACGAGACTAAAACAGAGTCCGAAACGACGCCCGTTACAGCGCAGTCCTGTTCGAGAAGTATTGCAGTGAGATTTACTTAACTCGTGCACTTTTCATGCGTTGGACTGCGACTCTCATCATCCCGAGCCACCTTGAGGTCTGTGCAAGGTGGGAGTTGTAATCCAACCCGTCTGGAAGCAGCTTTCGATGCACGAGTATTTTCAAGCGCGGGCGGTCCTGAATTCCAGTGGGGCTTCTGGCCAAATCCCCGTAAGGTGGTTCTATACGCTGGCCGCCGCGCGCACAAAGCCGCGGGGGACGAACCACGCACCTCGCTTCGGAAATTGCTCGGTCCCGCTTGCTAGGGGTTTGCTTGGGGAAGGGGCGCCAAGCAGAAGTTCGCGGCGCCCTCAATTCCAGCAGTGCGCAGGCGCGGCGATGGACCTTCCCAGCCGCGCTCGGCACCGCCGCAGAAGCTCGTGCGAGGTCTTCCCCGCAGGTGACCCGTGGCCGGTTCGGGAGGATCCGCCGCAGCACCGTCCCCCGAGGCCGGAAGCCAAGCTATTCTGGGAGGCAGGTGGGAGGCCGGCGGGGTATTCTGGGCCCAGGAGCGCGGAGGCGGAGGAGGCGGCTCGGCCTGGTAGGCATTGGCAGCTGACGGCAAGATCGCGCCCCTTGGCTGTCTTGGCGGAGGGGAAGATTGGAGCCGAGAGAAAAAGGAGAAAAGGCAGTTGCAGGCCCTTCCTCACTTTGGTCAGTGGCCAGAAAAGAGGAGGCGAGACGTTTCTCAGTTCTGGACTTGCCAAATTGACTGCACCTCCCAAAGCGTTTGCTTCTCTTGCCTCAAAAATAAAGTGTCAGAAAAATAGGCAAAATTGAAAGTGGCTTCTCTGTGGCAGTTCTGTAGAAGCATGGCAAAAACAGTTTAGGCTTTTATTTTAAAAGTAGCAGTACCTGAAGCTGTGGACAATATGATTCTAGCTCAGGTGAGTTGTGTAGCTCTTTAGTTTTGTGGAATTAATACTCCCAGCAACCTCAACCAGCATGGTGTGGGATGCTGGGAGTTGTAGTTCAATAGTATCTGGAGGTCACAGGTTCACTGCCCATTTATTTAGAGAGCAACTGCCTCAGAGGGTAGACAGCAACATTAAGATACTGAAGAGGAGAGCTGTATCTGCCCCCTGGTCAGGCTTGGGTTGTTAATGCTGCCTTTCTGTGTTCAGTTGCCATGGGCAATGTTATGACTAGATTCATCTGCTAGTCTCACTGCTTTAGTACATGGTGTGGATGCAAGGGAAAGTGCCATCTTGTTTGTTACTTTAGACAGCACAGCATTTTGGAGTCTTCTGGTCCAAGAAGCTAAAACTTTGGGCCAGAAGCTAGAATACAAATTTATTGTTTCATATTCTGTTCTTGTTTCCCTTTAGATTAGCACACTGGAGGCTAACAAACATAAACTTGTGCATGTTTGTTTGAACATTCAGAAGTTAACTTCAGCTGAGTTTCTGAATGGTTTGGATTGTAATTTTACAGTTGTGCAGCTTACAGGTGAAACTTGAAAAATTAGAATATCGTGCAAATGTTCATTTATGTCAGTATGGCAACTCAAAAGGTGAAACCAATATATGAGATGATGATTATGGCGTACAGCTTATGAAAACCCCAAATTCACAATCTCAGAAAATTAGAATAGTGTGAAAAGGTTCAATATTCTAGGCTCAAAGTGTCCCACTCTAATCAGCTAATGAATCCATAACACCTGCAAAGGGTTCCTGAGCCTTTAAATGGTCTCGATGATTATGGCGTACAGCTTATGAAAACCCCAAATTCACAATCTCAGAAAATTAGAATAGTGTGAAAAGGTTCAATATTCTAGGCTCAAAGTGTCCCACTCTAATCAGCTAATGAATCCATAACACCTGCAAAGGGTTCCTGAGCCTTTAAATGGTCTCTCAGGCTGGTTCAGTAGGAATCACAAGCATGGGAAAGACTGCTGACCTGACAGCTGGATGATTATGGCGTACAGCTTATGAAAACCCCAAATTCACAATCTCAGAAAATTAGAATAGTGTGAAAAGGTTCAATATTCTAGGCTCAAAGTGTCCCACTCTAATCAGCTAATGAATCCATAACACCTGCAAAGGGTTCCTGAGCCTTTAAATGGTCTCTCAGGCTGGTTCAGTAGGAATCACAAGCATGGGAAAGACTGCTGACCTGACAGCTGGATGATTATGGCGTACAGCTTATGAAAACCCCAAATTCACAATCTCAGAAAATTAGAATAGTGTGAAAAGGTTCAATATTCTAGGCTCAAAGTGTCCCACTCTAATCAGCTAATGAATCCATAACACCTGCAAAGGGTTCCTGAGCCTTTAAATGGTCTCTCAGGCTGGTTCAGTAGGAATCACAAGCATGGGAAAGACTGCTGACCTGACAGCTGGATGATTATGGCGTACAGCTTATGAAAACCCCAAATTCACAATCTCAGAAAATTAGAATAGTGTGAAAAGGTTCAATATTCTAGGCTCAAAGTGTCCCACTCTAATCAGCTAATGAATCCATAACACCTGCAAAGGGTTCCTGAGCCTTTAAATGGTCTCTCAGGTCTCATATATTGGTTTCACCTTTTGAGTTGCCTTACTGACATAAATGAACATTTGCATGATATTCTAATTTTTCAAGTTTCACCTGTATATACATCTGTAGAGACAGACTGTTGTTGTGAGGATACAAAAGCAGAGGCTTAGACCAATCTTCCATAATAATAATGTATTAAATTTATATACCCCCTGACTCCCAGCGACTTTGGGTAGTTTACAAATTGTTTAAAATATTTTTAAAACTTAAAAAAAAACACACACAAAAGCAACACAACCAAGGAAAGAAAGAGGGCAGAGAAAACAAACCCAGATGGGAACAAAGAAAAGAAGAAAAGGGCCTTCGTTCACACTCGCCAAAGGCCTGGGTGAAGAGCCATGTCTTCAGGGCCCTTCGAAACACTAGCAGAGAATGGGGGCCATTCGAATCTCAGGGGGAACCTCATTGATCAGCCATATCAACCATCTGGAGAGTGCTTGATAGGAAAGGATGACTTTGAAAGACTCAGTTCCTCAGGTACTGTAGGTGTGCACGAACTGGGAAAAATTGTTTAAACCCAGAACAAACCACTTTCTTTGGGACATTCTGTCATACTGCTTCAGATTGACCACAGACCACGGACTATTTTGGTTATTTTGGGGTATGGATGAAATAAAAGCCAGGCAGTTTAAGTAGGGTAAGTTGGTGTGCATCTCTTACCTCTTCCTCTCAACTTGTACTAGAATGTAATATCCTGCTGCCCCCTCACCCTGCCCAAACATCCCAGGCCTGCCCTGCCTCGCAGTCTCAGGTTTATGATACATATTTTGGCTTCAAACTAGATTTGTTTTCCAGAGATTTGAGGGTATGATTGTATTTAATAGCCAGTATAAAGCTACAGAACAACTTAGTGACTATTAATCTGCAAAGATGAGTGAAACTCATAGGGGTTTTATGGGGCAAGAGGGCAAGTAATGGGAGAAAATGTCTCTCTTGAGTGCTTTTGTCTGTTTAAATTATCTTCTATGTTAGTTTCTCTATTGTATGTCAATAAGCACTTAATGGCATTCTTACACTCATGTAGAATCAGTTACTTGTACACTCGAAATAGTTCAGATTGCAGACTTAAAATAATATGAATTGCTAAATTAAGTTGTGGAAACTTAATGTCAGACTTAAAGCAGAAATGGGATGTCAGACTTAAAATAGAAATGGGATGTCAGACTTAAAATAGAAATGGGATCCTTTGAAATTTCTCAAACTGATATCATTAATCACCTTTTAGTTCTCTGGATTATTTGTCTTCACATTAAACCACATGTGTACAATGTAGGGTTGCTAAAAGATAGCAGTCTTTCTTTCTTTCCTTCCTTCCTTCCTTAAATGAATATAGGAAATTGGTGAAGATACATTCAGTAGAAGAAAGGACACTGTCTCCCCAGGAGGGTAGAGTCAGCAGGATGACTCACCAGGGAGCTGTTCTCCAAGGCTACAATAATGAACTTGTGAAGTATATGGAAGACTTGTGCGTTCAGAGAGAAGAAGTAGACCAGCAAATTGGACAACTGGTAGAAGACAAGACTAAGATTCAGGATGAAATTGAGATGTTAACCAAACAACTGGAATACGTATGTAAAAGCTTAGCTTGGAAAAATGCCACACAAAAGAGACTTGATAAAATTCTTGCTGAAACAGGACTTGCATATGAAAAGATCTTGGACAGTTCTAGGATGTTGCTGAGTGTTTTGAAAACAGAAACAGAGAATTTAGACAAAATGATAGCACTGAAAAAGCAATGCAGTGAATTACCATGAGATATTTGGACTCTAACTAAACCAACATTAGAGTTGGCAAAACATTACATAAGAAATGCCATCTTCTGTTTTTTATTTGTTAGTTTACTAAATGATCTTTATTCATGTGAATGGAAAGTACTTCTTAAAGAAATAAGTAGAAATAAAGCTTCTGAGAACTCACTAAGGACAAGCTACTGAAAATTAAAGTCTTCAAGACCAAAGTTCTAGAATCTATTATTTGTTGTACTAATAAAACTAAAGAAAAAAGGTGAGGACTAAATGTTTTTATTTTAGTTAAAATAAGATGTAATTCAGGTGGTAATGCTATGAATTACTACATTAATGGAAAGTAATTTGGGGAGGACATATCATCAGCTATGGTCAGAGTAATACCCACCCCAGTTTTTGGAAGTGAAAGCAACATTTAGTATATAAATGCTTGTAGTTTCCATAGGATTGCTTTTGAGGGATGATATCACTGTGCCAGAAGTCTTCCTCAGTTGCTCCCCAAGAAAAGGCAAGGCATTTAACCCTAACTCCTCAGTAATTCCCCTATAAGCTTTTATGGCCAGCCTTCCCCCACCTGTTCCCAGTAAATGTGCAGAAGTGTAAATTGGGAATGTAAAGGAAGTGGGAGAGCACTCCATTTTTCTCTTTCCACATTTGATTTATCTTACCTTTGGTGGATCACTGCTGACTTTTTGTTCTATGAAACAAAAAATTCTTCTCCAGCCTTTGCTAGAAAAGGCTTGGCAAAGCAGGAGGACTGGGAAAGTAACTTTCTTAGTTTGGATAATGCTAGGCCATATTTAGTATGTTGTCTAAGTGTGTTCACTATGGCTGATTTGGTTTTGTTTAGTGTGTTGCATGAACTAAGCTGTTACAATTTGTAAGCCATAGTTAATGATTTAATGTGTGAATATGGCAACAGTTTGATAGATGTATATACCACCTTTATTTTGTACTACTCAGCTGGCTTTTGGGCCTAGGGGTGGACTAAAACTCATAGTCTCCCCATTTCTAATCCGGCACCTTAACCCCTACATCAGACTGGCTCTTTTGCCTTCAAAACTTCAACTTGTATACAGCAAATGAAGCAGTCAAATAACTCGATTTTATTTTCCATTTCTAAAACTCTGCTTACCACAAAATGCCAGTAGCACATAATTCAGAAGCCTGTGATGCCAATCTGAAAATGCTTGGTTGAGCTGAGTTTCAGGTTAATATTAAAGTAACTGAGCCTTTAGGATTTAAGTCTATCAGTTTCACTCGTATTATCTTATAAAACTAATGTGATGATTCCTGATATTATCTGAAAGAAGGTGCAAAAAGTGGCTAAGCCAAATTTGTCCACACTGTAAATACACTCTCAGAATACACTGCTTACATAAATAAGTGTGGGGAATAAAATATATTTACTCATAAATATTCTGGTGCTCTCTTCTGGAAATCTGGAAAAATTGGGTTAATTTATCAACAGAACAAGGTCATGTAGAAGTCACTGCACTTGATTATAGCAGCTGTTGAACATCCCTTGAACATCCGGAGAGGAAAGTTTCCATACGACTGCTGTTCCCTCACTTCTTGAAAAATGTTTTATAATAGGATATGAATGTGTATATCCCATCAGAGCTCTTTTCGAAGATAAATGTTTTGGTCTGTATATGTTTAATTAGCAGTAGTGTGGCTAGATTCAAAAGAGAAAAGTTCATTTCAGCAGATGTAACTGGTAGCTGTTCTGCTGTCCACTTCTTGGAATGATGTCCCCTCTGTGTTAAATGAAGCCTACTTTTAGATAGGAAGGGATTATGTTGCAGTTGTGGAATTTGGAATATTAACTGAAAGTATTTCCCTTCTTTCACAGTCCTTTCCCTTTGTACGTAAGAATGTACATACATGCATCTGTACCTAGGAGATTTACATGCCACTTTTTTCTCTTAAAGAACACTCTGCAACTTACAGTTAAAACAACATAGGCACAAATAATTATAGTCTAAAAAATGCAATTATTGCAGGAGACAGCTAGGATCAGCTTTGGAAAGAGCTGTTAGTCTGTGAAAGGTGCAGTTGCTTTAATGGTCCAAAGAGAGGTGCTTTGTTCACAGTCCCACATGTTGCAAAAGACCTCTTTTTGCACAGACCAGGTACATTCCATAGCCTGGGTATAATGCAGGTTAAGGTTCTTTCCCCAGGCCAGATCTCAGTGAGCAGGAACATCTTCAGAAAGGCTTATATGGATGTTAATGACCAAGTGGGTTCTTATAGGGAATATAAAGATCAGTGGAAACAACTTTGCATGCATGCTGCTTATACTTCCATATACTATTGTTCCAACTAATTGCTTCAGTCATTTTTTAATGTCCAGAAAATCTAGCAGTTCTGCAAGTTTTTTTATGGTTTTCCTGCAAGTGTATATTTTTCTATGTAATATGTTATCCTAGGATTTTTTAAAAAAATAAAAATCTACCTTAATATGGTATCTTTTGAGACTTCCCTTAGATATATTCTATTTAAATACAAATTGGCTCTAACTTTCTTTTCATTGTTAATGTTTTCCCAAGTATATACTACTTTTTGCAACGTTTTCTTGCTCAGGAATTAGCAGGCTCTGTTTCTTGCTTTCACTTGTGCAGGAGTAACATGGTGGATTATGGCACTTCAATGTAAAAGAAATATCTTTTTAAAAAAAATCCTAGTCCCAATCTGTGCATTATAAAATTTGCTAGGATATAAAAACCAAAGTGTAGCGGGGGAAAGTACAATGTGCTGAAATGCATAAGACAAAATAAATGGCACCCTAACTTAAAAATAGCCTTTAAAGCCCTATGTGGCATGAGGCCAGGTTGTTTGCCAGACTATCTCTGCCCATCCCACCAGTTTGGACAAAGTGGGCATGCTCCAGGTCCCTCCCTTTAAATGCTACCATCTAGTGAGACCTAGGAAATGTGCCTTTTCTGTGGCAGCCCTGTGAAACACCCATCCCCTGGGGGTCTGACAGGCACCCATCCTTTTAGCCTTGCAGAAGGGCATAAAGAGATGGGTCTTCCCCCAGGCTCTGAGATAGGGTGAGATGGGAACCTGTGGATGCCTTTGTTGGAGGCATCCAAGGAGAATGGCTGAGGTACCATTTTTGGGGGGGTTGATTTATTATTTTTATTGTTTCTTGGTATTATTGTGAGCTGCTCAGAGTTGTGTTCTAAGATGGGCGGCCATACAAATCTTTTAAATACGGTAGGTAGGGTTCGCTTTCTCTAGTTCTACCAAAAAACTGATCACAAATCCTCTATGCAGATCAAAAAGAACTGTTTTTGAAACTTTAAATTATTATACTAGAATGACCTTGAAACCTGAAGCAGATGTTTAGCTTGAATAATGATTCTGTCTGACATGGAAAGATTATAAATCAAATTGTCTTCCTGTCCAGTATCAACCCATTTTCTGAAAGAATCCAGAATGATTCAGAATTTTTGTGGATGAACAGTTCCAGCAATATGGATTTTAATGTCCTCACATTTTTTCAATGTTTGTGGTATGCTACAAAACAGAAAATGATCAGGTTGTATAGCCCTATTTTGAGTCAAAAAGGGGAAGGTTCTGTAGGGTAGGATTAATCAAATGCATAGCCCTGCTCACTTGTCATGGCCAGAGGAAGAGATGGAAGGCCCTGAGTTTGTCTCCAATGGGAGAGAAAGAACTATGCCATTATGGAGCAGACTGTGAGCATGTTAGGGCAGCTCTTGGCTGAACTTCAAAAAACTGGACTGGGTAGCACTTGGATGGGAGACCATTAGGAAATCTCTGGATTTTAGCCACACGGTGAAGTTGAGAAAAAAAATTGTCAGAAAAAGGCAGTGGTAAAGCATTTTCCTTTAGAGTGAAGAAAACCACATGTCTATCTTCCTGAAGTCATCAGAAGTTGAGCTCCTTCCAAGGAGATTTATCTTTCCCTTATAAGGAACCCAGAGGGCTTTGTATCTTCCAGACCAGTGTTTTTCAGACTTGGCAACTTTAAGATGTGTGGACTTCAACTCCCAGAATTCCCCAGCCAGCATGCTAGACCTTTGGCTACCCCCAACATGCCTTTGCTTTGCCCTCCAATATTAATGGGACACGTACCAGAGCTATAGCGTGTATTGAGAGAGGACTTCAACAATATTGTTCTTCCAAAAAGTGGATCTCTTTCTCCACTGAAGAAGCAAATGGTGAGGCCAGGGAGACAGAAAGTGGGATCAGAAGGTGACATGCCCCATAAACAAGAAATTCCTGAGTCTTGTGGCCAGGATGTCCATCTTAACCCAGTTAGTGCTGAAAGCAGCCTCCAGAGATTAAAAGCACTAGCCAATGATTACATAATGCTGGCTGGGAATTACAGAAGCTGCAAAGGTGGGATCTAGGTTAGAGAACGTGGTTTTATAGAACTGGCACATCTGTGGCACTGATGCCCTGAATGGTTCTGTCTGAATTACGGATAAAAACATGTCCAGGAGCAATCCTGTTCTGGTCATATTGGGCCTCAAAATCCTGTTGTCTTTACCACATTTTAGCTAGTCCAGGTAGTTAACAAGTGCAGGCATATATATGTATCTTATAGGGAATGTGAGCTCTTGTAAATAAACTTTTTTCTCTTGTCCTTGCATTCTTTCCAGTGCATTTAATGGTTGGAGACTTTAACTGGGCTAGCTGCTGGAATAAAACAACCAGCTTTGTCGTTTCAGTAAGCCAGTGTGGTGCAGTGGTTAAAGCACGGGGAGGTGCAGGTTCTGATCCACACTCAGTCACAGAAGCTCACTGGGTGACTGTCTCCTAGCCTAACCTACCTCTCAGGATTGTTGTGGGAAAAAACAGACCAGAGAGCACTATCTACACTACCTTGGGCTCCTATGCAAAAGGCAGGATAAAAATCAAATAAATGTTCAGTCTGAGTCTTTCTCAGAGGTTCCCCCCCCCCCCCGTCTCTTGCAATACATGAATTTTTGTACTTCTGCAGGCATTCCCTCACATCTACAGATGGAATGTGTCAGAGGTACCAATTTAGCTCCATAAACTGCAATGCTCAGAGTCTGAACTTTGGAAATAGGAACAAAATGAAGGGGCTGGCATTCCCTTGTATTAACTGTTACGTTTATAAGAAATCAGATCTTTAAAACGATGGTAGTTTCCAAAGGATTGTCACATTTGTCTGTTATCACAAAAAGAAGAGTTCTGTATTTCTTCAAGGACTGACACCTTTGTTGTGGGATATAAATTCTCAGGCCCGTGACCGCTGT